TGCCATTGAAGATAAACTATTATCTCTAGGGGGAAATGAGCTTCCAACGTATGGACTTCCTGTGACTCAGAGGAGTACTATGCATAACTTGAGCCGTGAAGTAACGCGAGAACTTTGCTATGATGTCGAATCTTTAATCGAAGAAACTGAGACGCATATTTCGAAGTTTCTACCCAAGCAGTATTTGAAGCAGTTATGAATAGCGTTGTAAATAATGCAAGTAAAATCTTCTTTCTTGATGCACCAGGTGGCACAGGTAAAACATTCGTTATAAGAACGTTGTTTTAAACAGGCCTTTATTTCATCCGCTCGTGTACCTCTAGGAATTATAGGCAATGTTTGTCTAAAGTCGCCTGCCAAAACCAATGTTCTACCGCCCATTATTTTCTTGTTGCTGCAAATATCCTGTAGTGTTCGGTCTAAGGCTTCTAAAGCAGCTTTATGAGCCATAGTGCATTCATCCCAGATGATAATCTGGCATCGCTTTAGGACTTCTGATAAGCCCGTTCCTTTGCTTATATTGCATGTAGGTGTTTCTTGTGCTGCTAAGTTTAGGGGAAGCTTGAATGTAGCATGGGCTGTTCTTCCTCCTGGCAGAAGAGTTGCCGCAATGCCAGAAGACGCTACGGCGAGTGCAATTTGCTTGTTTTTTCTAATTTGAGCCAACAACGTTCTTATAACGAATGTTTTACCTGTGCCACCTGGTGCATCAAGAAAGAAGATTTTACTTGCATTATTTACAACGCTATTCATAACTGCTTCAAATACTGCTTGGGTAGAAACTTCGAAATATGCGTCTCAGTTTCTTCGATTAAAGATTCGACATCATAGCAAAGTTCTCGCGTTACTTCACGGCTCAAGTTATGCATAGTACTCCTCTGAGTCACAGGAAGTCCATACGTTGGAAGCTCATTTCCCCCTAGAGATAATAGTTTATCTTCAATGGCAGCAAGTGCTAAACTGTATATATTATTATCATATGTTATTTCATGACTTTGATTTTGAATCTGAGCAAGGTGCAGAAAGTCTTCGGATAGATTGTCGTTATGATTTTGTCACAGTGGAAGTGGATTTGAAATATTGCACACATGGATTAGAATTGCAAATAAGTTTCTTAGACTTTTTGGGGAATTTGACATCGATGCTTCTGTCATAGTTGCTTGCCAATGTGCATCGTCTTCAAGAAGTCCACGGAGAAAACACGCTTCTCTATAAGTTTGACAGACTGTACCATTCACTGTTTTTAATCTTTCGAATGAGGTTGGCCCACTTACTTCTAAAAGAAGTATTCTCAAAAAAAAAACATTCTTGCTGGCTGGGATGGACAGTATAAATTATTGCCAAAGTGTCGTCTTTAAAAATATCTGGTTGTCCTTCTACACAACTTCCCCGTTTTCTTCTGTTCCATTTGTTATTTTTCCAATTATAATAACTTGGCACCTCAGAATGAAGCAATGTTCTGGCAAATAAATCCGTTTGATAAAGTTGGAAAAATGCCGTAAGCGTTGTATTTCTTGGAGCGATAACTTGCTGCAAAATATGTTGTTCAGTAAAGTATATTATTTGGCCATTTTCTAAATGGACACTGAGCTGTTGAATTGCAGGATGTCGCTCGTGGATAGGGAAACCCAAAATTCGCCAAAAAGCTTCACTGCTGCTTATGTATATTCCACATTGGTAGGTGGTTACTTCATCGTTTAAATTTNGATCCGTTTGATAAAGTTGAAAAAATGCCGTAAGCGTTGTATTTCTTGGAGCGATAACTTGCTGTAAAATATGTTGTTCAGTAAAGTATATTATTTGGCCATTTTCTAAATGGACACTGAGCTGTTGAATTGCAGGATGTCGCTCGTGGATAGGGAAACCCAAAATTCGTCAAAAAGCTTCACTGCTGCTTATGTATCTTCCACATTGGTAGGTGGTTACTTCATCGTTTAAGTTTGGATTCTGAAGAGCGTACATCGTCGCATCGGAACATTTATTTACGTACTTGCAAACGTATTTTATAGATTTTATAAAAATACAAAATTCTACATTTATATGAGCCTCAAAAGCTTTTGAAAGTAGTGGACAATAAGGAACTATCCATCTATTGTCAATATCAACCTCGATACCATTGTTGACTTTGATTTTCGTAGACACTCCACCATGCCCTGGTTTTCTCCTTTTGTAAAGTGGATAGCCATCTATTCCAGTTTGCGTTTCATTTACAAACTGTCTCGGATGTCTCTTGATAGATTTGCCGTTTACCATACATGGAGAATTGGCATTCAAATTTCCGCATGGACCATGTACCATAGTTTTCTTAATGATATGAAATAGAACTGGATCGGTATTGGGATCTGGCAGTTCCGCAGAAATAATTAAGTCAATTTGGTTAGAATGTATTTTGTTGTTAAGCCACAATAGTATATGCGCATGAGGTAGGCCTCGTTTTTGCCACTCTATCGTATACATATCGCAACGTATTGAACCAAAGATAATACATTTTTTTATAAGATTCATCATCTTAATTATTTTTTGTCGAAATACTCTTGCTACCAGATCTCGACGATCTTTCGCAGACTGACCATGAAAGAGTTCTTCTTTCATCTCTTTCCAAGTAGGATTACATGTAAACGTTATAAAAAGATCAGGTTTCCCATAAGTCCTCACATAGCTCATGGCATCTTGGGTCCGTTCATGCATGTATCTAAATATATACATATATGTAGTATTTTTAGTTTTGAGTAAGCAAAAAGTTGCATACAAACATACACTGGGTCATAGATTACGGATCTGTATAACGTTTTTTTTTTAGATCAGATAATTTTTCTTCAATACTTTCATTTTAAGTTTGCATTGTGAATTAAAAATATCAAACTTTGATAGAGCAGAAATTTAAAAATAATATGGTGTTTGTAAATTTTTGTTATTAAAGCCTTTTATAAAAAAATTAAGCTACCAATAAAAAAAAACAATGGATAAATAAAAAAGTTGTGAATTGAGAAATGAAATCGCGATATAATCGTACATGGCATATGAGTAACATTCTTTCCTCCTCATACATATTTCAAACAAAAAAATCAATGCGCATTTTCATTTGTCCACTCAAAACTTTTACTTATCCCTAAGATTTCAGTCATTCTGCGACTCTTATTTCATAAATCCTGAAATAAAAGTTTTTTTATTAGTCCGAAATACTCAGTAAATAACAGTTATTTTTAGCTTTTGTTTAATTCCTCAAAAACTAAAAGTTATTTTTGATTTGTAAGAATAAGATTGAAATTTGATGCAAAATTAATTCAGACTGCCGTAATAATAATCATTATACATTTCACATACCTTGGACTTCCTGTTAAACTGGATGGTAGAATACATATTTTCCCTACATCAGTTATTTCGGTGTTTTCATTACTAACGCTGTTCCTGAGATGTATGTATGAATCAACGCGTAATTCTTTTTGGTGTGTTTTTATTTACAAAAGGCGCTCTGCTTCCACCTTTGCATACATATCAACAGCATACTGTTGAAATAAGTCTTGACATCGGTGTAAATGATTGAAGTAGTTGTCTCTGACCATAAAAGTGTAGGCGTAGAAATCCATACATGACACTGTTTTGTTCCCTTGTGTTTGGGGAATTCCAAAGTGATAGCCATCTTCGCCATATACGCATATTAATGGATATTGAAGAGGATCGTATGATCGGTGTGTTTCTGTGATTCTTTGTATACTATTGTCCCGAAGTTTTATAATGATTTGGTTGACCTTGGTTTGTCGGTCCAAACAGGAATCTTTATTTATGGTTGATGGATAGCTCGTTTCCAATGGATGGTGGCAAAAAAGTGGCTGACTTACGTGTAATGATTTTGTATTACCGGCTTATGGTGACTCAATTGCTGTTAAATGAATAGTCCGGATTTGATGCTCACAACTTCCTTATTCTACGCAACAACATGGCTGGGGATTTGCCGGAAGGAATGTGACGGCACCTTTTGCCTCTATTAATTTCCACTGAGGGGTGAGTATCGACTCCCCGAATGTCGCTAGCTTTTAATCCACTTTAATTACTTGGTTGTAGTTCCGTTCTTGCGAGGGCTGATGAGTGTGGTTCGCTCCGTGTCCAATTCCAAAAAAAAAAAGAAATATCTATATAGCCTCGCGGTATGTCATCACCGATTCTTCTATCGTATATCAGTGTGGCCGTTTTCATAGTGGCCATGTCAATTCGTGTCTCTACCAATATGATGGTTCGTGTCTTGAATAACTATTGGTTACGTACATTCATCTGGCAATCCCCCTCCATTTTGAAGTTTAGCTTTGACAGTTTTGTTATGTTTACATTTCTTATAATCGTTCTTATGTCTATTATTTGGGCAATAAAAAATAATAGATCATTATCCCCCTC